TATTGGCTAATTTCGTGCAATTTGGTTTCAAGTAGAGCATAAGGTTGACGGAAACCCGGGGACTGCGCCTACCTGATGAGCCCGAAGTGGAAGGGCGAAACCGGTCGTGGGCTGTCGATGGATTTTCAGCAACCTTATGAGTAGTACATTACAAGCATACATTAGGTTGGTACTCCCAGCTGATAGATCCTTGTGTAGGACTTTGAGCTGGACCGCAATTTTCGAAAGCCTTTGTAAGCCGATGCAAGTCTAAGGGGATAGGTTCGGATCCTGAGCACAGAGGGTAGCCTTCCCAAATTGTGGCCTCCAATTACTGAAACATGTTAGGAAAAGTAAACGACCATCAGGTTGCTTCGATTGATAGCCCTATCCATATAACACATTCCAGGTGCTACTTTGTGCTACTCGCCTTCCAGGATGAGGACCACGTGATCCTCACCGCGCCTGGTTGGAGACACTACAAGGTATGGCTGCCAACCGATGTCAGTGGCGCTCTTGTTGTCAGTTTCTATCCAGATTGCCTGAATGAGTGTTTGGAGGTGTAGGCACCTCGGAATGATTGTAGTAAGCCAGCATTAAGTCCCTTTCCCGTCCAACTTTATTCTTTTCTTTACAATAAGGCTTTCAGTTGCACGGCAGCTAAGCATCGGTGTTGAACACTGATGTCATGCTGTCGATGATCCAAAGATCAGAAGTGTGTACTCTGGTGATCACGGAACGTCACTTTTAGCACTGTTGTAGACTTGATACTCCCGAAGGTCTAAAACGTGAAGGTTTAGCATTCACAGGCCCAAATGGGGACAACTGAACCAGATGGTGCTCGCCTGCATTGTGAATGAGCCACACTCGTATTGAGTTCTGGTTGTTTGGTTAGACGGAACCAATGTCTTTTAGACCATTTAGCCTTGCGGACACGGGATCGCAGCTCGCGTCCAAAAGTTGAACTAACTGTGCTCTCTAGGCAGTACTGTGTCCAGTATTCGACAAAATCTACTTCACTATGGATGCACATAAGGTCGTATACTCCCCGTGAAGGTCATCACATAATAACAGTCCTCTGCACGTCGGTACACTGGCCAAGTCGTTAAGTGACAGTCGCGAATTTCTCAGCTACGCGTCATTTTATTGTGTGCGTGCAAACAGTACAGAGGTATTCGTAAACATGCGGATTCATGTTTCAGGGGATGCATCGAAGAATGTTTTGAATCTGACTATAGGTGAATAGTCGGGACAATTTCCAACCTCAAGACGGACGGGATGATTACCTACCCATGGGGTTGACAATTCCCTCAGGCGTTAGCCATAGGGCAGGTGAGTTCGATTCCGCTGCGCGTTTCGTCCTGGTTGTGGCTCATCAGTTGGCTGGGACGTGACCCGATAGTTCATGTTCAGGTTTCAAATCTACACTCGAAACCCCAAAATCAAGAGGTCACTAACCTTAGTTAGGTGCATGGCTTGTGTGAATTAATGTGGTTTCTGCTTGTGTCGAAATGTTAACAGCCCAGCTGTTTTGAACTTGAAGATTTTACCAGTGGTAATTATGGCCATTTTTGCCCCACAGTTATCCCATCGCTCCACAACACGGTACGGATTGTGTGTGCATAATTCGTTTCGCAGAATGTCCTGGTGAGTATATCAGATGGACGGTCAGGCAACTAGGGGCACATACAGCTCAACGGAAACGCCATACCTACCACTCTGCACGCACCTCGCAAAGTCATCACGTGAACACCCTTCAATCCGGCTTTAAGTTATATCGAGAGCATTTGTACCGAGACCCCTGTATTTGATGTACTCTGACTCGTGCCAGTCGCATTGATAGTACCAACCTTTTATTCACTTCGATTAGTCCTGCCACATACCTAACTGAGCACCGTAGCTGGACGTGAGGTAGAAATCTGGGCTCCTGCCCATTCTCCGAGTGACATAGTCACTGTCCGACAGCAAATCTTCCCGCATTCGTTGATCTTTGAGAAAATGGTATGGTTATTCCGCCTCCTTGAGGCTGGCCAAACCCGGTTCTCGTCTTCTGCCACATTGACGTGGTGGTCGGGCTTCAGTGCTGCAATGATCCCGCGGGCTACACTGGCTGGAACTTCGTTCCACAAGGTGCAACCATGCCAGGAAGGCCAAAGGGGAGCAGCGAGACCCCATACTACGAGTAATCGTGCTACGAGGCGGTCTGGGGGTAAAGTCGTACTGTCCTCTGCGACAGGAGTGTGAAGGCAGTAAGGTGTTTCCCCCAGGCGACCAGCATGTCCATATTTATGGAAGCAGCGATGCTCCTTCCCCCGAGGAAGGACGGGTTGGAAAAGGTCGGCCCCAAAAACTGCACACTCCGATCGCCCAGCGGTTGACCGTGACCGCCGGCGCATTATCCGATACGGTCGAAATACTTTTAAAACCAAAGAGCCCGGTGCTGCTCAAAAGGCACCTGCTGTGCGCAGCCGCATCAGGAATGAGACAGTAATGCCTTATTCCCTGCGCCCTCGGGTTAGGCCA